GACTCCTCCTGTCAGGCTGCTGTTTTCCCAATATGTTCATTCTCAGCTACAGGTAGTTCTCACACACAGCCTACTCCACCTTTTTTTTTTTTTTTGGCTTTGGTTCTGGTAAATACCATGTCCTTTAACAAACACCTTATGACCAACCTGTTTCCAATGGTACTTACAAATTGGTTTTAAATTTATGTGGTGGGGGCACTGGGTTTTTGGCACGCAGTTCTAGCACTTCCATGTAATGTGGCTTCTTCTGAGTCCTACTCTGAAGGACTGTCAAGTTATCGGTACTTGTATTTTCCTCTGAGCGGTGCTCCCCTTGCTCTGCAATTGTAATCCTTTGTAGTCTATCAATAATCAGGTTGTCAGAGCTGCTGGATATACCTTCTGCTTGACTGGAAACACGACGCTGAGAGAGACACTCGCTAGCTTCGCATGAGGAAGTGGCCTTGCTGCTGGGAGGTATACACGTGTTCACTGTGTCCTGTGCCTCTGAAGTCTCCTCATTGCCTTTGTCAAAGAGATGGACAATTTCCTGTTTTGCGGAAGGTGTTTTGGATGACTTGCTGTCAGCAACAGAGGAACAGCCAAGAACCAGTGATGTAGTATCAAGTATCTGGTCAGAATTCTGAGCCTTGGCTGTGTCCACATCAACTCCCACCATCACTTTTTGCCTTACTTTAAAGTCTAATCTAACAGGATTTAAGAGTTCACTTGTTGCTCTAAACTCTTCACGTTCTGCAATGGCTGCTTTCAGTTTGGAAACAGAGTCTAAGATCTTTTTACCTTTGTCGGGCAATTTGCAAATGAATTTTCTGTCAAATGGGAAAAAAAACACATAAACATTAGAGTTATGTCTTTAAACTTGAGATATAAACTTTAAAAGACAAAGCACTATCCTCACAAGGAGAAAAGCTGACTTCAAAATTAAAATCTGGTTTCCAACTGTCCCAAAACAGGAATGAAACAATTAAGATAAAATAATTATCAAAATAATAGAAAAAGAAACAAGAGTATGCAGGAATAACAGGGAATATGTCTCAGTTGGCTCATCCAATAAAAATTTTAGTAAATGTATTTTAAACATAAAACAATTATATATACACAAGACATGGACTCCTAGCATGGCACTGTAGGATCAGCACTGGACTATGAACCACACAATCTGTGGTTCAAACTCACCAGCTGCTCCTTGGAAACCCTACCCAGGGTCACTATGAGTTGGAACCGACTGGACGGCACTTACCAAGAACAACACACAAGACACTCCAATAGATAAACAGTTAGCTAAGTGTGATCCTCAAGATATTCAGGGGGAGCAGGGGGAGGCACATCTGAGAGGTCAAAACTATAGTCTCAACAATACTAAGATATGTATTGTTTTCTCACTTTCTCACATGGGTCCAGCGGAGTTTCCCAGAGGCTACCGATGTATGATGACATCACTGCTCTGAAAGCTAATGGAATGTGTGCTTGCATAGTCTTGGTTTTTTAAAGATTTCTTTAAATCTTTAAATCAGTTGTAATTTCTAATAAATCAGTATAGTAAATATTGAGATACAAATGTATCCCACATAAACAAAGGTACTTTTGTACCTTCAATAATATTTAATTTAGTATAAAAGGGTCCTAAGGTCAAAAACTTAAGAGACTTCACTGCTATAGAATAAAAGTCCAACCTCACAAAATCAAAGCACCCATGTGACTATTTGCCCCCTTTACTCAGTGACATTGGGTCCACTCCTGTAAAGGTTTACTGCCTCAAAAACTCTGTACAGCATCGCTATGAGGAGGAATCAACCTGATGGCAATGAGTTTGTTTATTTGTTCTGGTTACTGATTAACAGAAGTCCCCTTACACACTCCTTTTTCTTTAGCCGTACTATGAATGAGAGAAAGCTCACCAAAATTACATTAGGCCTGCTTTTCTTTCTCTGCCACAACTGTTTCCAAAGTGTCAACTTTCAGTTTTTACCCAATGCTTATCCTGTCAATTTGGCAAAAAGCAATCTTGGACCTAGAGCTCTCCCTCAATTTCCCTAGTTTTGTTAATGGTTCTCCACGCAGGTTGGAAATTTGAGTCATCTCTCTTAACTACATAGTCAAATTATTCCAGTCTCGTTCCTAATTCACTTACTTATTCTCTTACTGGGACCTACATACAAATATGCACCTTTCGCCTCTTATTCTTACAAAGCATTCAGCTACTAAACTAAGCTTCTTAAAAATACTACTTTTATTATTACTATTAAATCACTCCCCTGGTAAGTTTAGTTAAGTCTGCCAGCTGAGTGAGACTCCAACTTTCTCTGCCTAATAAATCATTTTATATCCAACTCATCCCGTTTCCTCCGGCTCTAGCAGTGAAACTGACAAGTTGTTGAGCCGTTACTGTCTTTAACACTACACGAGGAGGGTTTCAAGGTTAGTAGAAAATTCGAATTAAAACAGGGTTTTCCACCAACTTTTTAAAGCCCTTTCATATGAGGTGGGGCAAGGGAGTTATATATATTATGTATATGTACACATACAGATACACACACACACAAAAGGGGCTGGATCCTTCTTGGAGCCGACTCGGTCACTGGGTAAATCAATCCGGCTGATTACAAGTACAGCTCAGTCACAAACTCGCCGTTCGGACCCGCGCAGAACGACAGGCAGTGCGTGCCTGGCCCCGACCGTGTGGTGTAGCTTTGCAGCTGCAGGCCGTTCCGCTCGCCTCCAGGACTGAAAGGAATGGGACTCGGGCAAGGTCACCTTCCAGGGACGGGAATGGGGTGAGAGAACCAGGGAGGGCAGTTTCCCAGGGAGGAGCCCGAACCGAAGGACTCGGCGGGACCCAAGCTTACTCGTTGAGCAAAAGTCTCTCCTGGCGCTTCAACATCTCCCGCAGCTCCGCCAAACTCCGCTGCCCCAAGTCCTCGGGAACTTGGGGCTCGAAGCCGCGGGGCAGCGAGGACATTATGTGGGGGCTGCGGCTGGCGAGGCGGCGGGCACTCGGCTTCCTCGGCAGCCTCCGCCGCTAGCGTCGGATCCGCAGCCCGTGACGACTCAGGAGCACGAGCGGGAGACGCCATTTTCCCGGAAGAACAGGTTATCTTCGAGTCGAATCGAACTTTATTGAAACACCGGAAACACACACAGACCGTGAGAAGGGAGCGTCGGGAAGAGCCGGAAAGAGACGGAAGTTACGAACGTGACGTCAGCGTCCCAGGGCGTGCTCATTTCCGCGCTGGTTCTCTATTCGCCTGTTCCTCGTCATTCATCTGTTTCTTTTAAAAGTATTCGGTTGCCACCGTTTCTTCAAAATCCATTTGAGTGCCACCGTAACCGTTAGCAAACAGCATTATGAATGAACAAATAGCCACTGGTCCCAACTCTCAGTAATTTCAGTATCGCGGAGGGAGGCAGACAAATAATAATAAAACAATATGATAGTAAGATTGGGATGGATATTAGGGAAACATGGGGTCGTCATGAGTCAGGGCAACAGTTTTGAATTTTTTGGTCTCTGGTGTGATTCCTCCTACTCTAAGACTTAGGTCCAGAAATGTTAAAGTTTCAAGATTCTTAGCAACTATCAGGGTTTCTTAGGAGTCCTGGTGTGGCGCTGTGGGTTAATGCACCAGACTGCAAAGCCGTTGGAACTGCAAAGTTGGCGGTTCAAGCTCACCAGCTGCTCCTTCGAAACCTATACAGGGTTCGCTATGGGTCCGAATGGATTCAACAGCACTTAACAACAACAACAAGGGTTTCTTAACGAATCTCTGCATTTCAATTCACCATTGTCCCTGGTGTTACAGAGCATCTGGTGGCTCTGACTTCTCACTAATTGCCATGTCACTTCCAAGTCATTGCAACACCCCATCATTCCCAAAAGTTCACAAGAGTTAGTGATAAGAAAGGAGAGTTTGGGTGCTGGGGGGGAGGGGCGGAGGAGGGAATACACAAGAAGGGGGAGGGGGATGGAAGAACTAAGCAGATGGGAAAACAATTAGGCAGGTTTGCATGGGCTAAGTGGGACAGAGGTAAATACTGATGTATGCACAACCTTGGAACAACAGGGCTCTGAGATACAGGGATTGAGATATGGTTGAGATATGCACAAAAGGGGGGAAATAATATTAAGATGCTTGGCTATCTTTTGAATCTTGGTTTCCCTGGCATACCATTATAAAATAGACACTGGAGAGGGAGAGAAAGGAATAGCCAGAAATATCACGATAGAAACCTTGTAAGTCCATCTTCTGCCTATAACTGATTGTTGTTGTTGTTAAGTACCGTGGAGTCGGTTCTGACTCATAGTGAC